TAAAAATACATAGGAATACATACCATACACATAAAGGCATTTAGAGACAGATACACATCGAATCGAAATAAGCGTTTATTATCTCTATGCATATATCTTGGAGCGTTTATTACAAAATGTCTCCCGATAGATATCGCTCTAATTGCAAAGAGGAAAACACTTCATTGGATTCACACAAGACAGGTACATAAACTGAGCAAACTAAATTTTTCGATATGCCAAGAACTGGCAAAGAAAACACGATTGTTGTGGGTCGCTAAACAGACATATGCATTCTACCCGAGGATTTTCTTTCAGTGATACATTTTTATGATTCGTCTGTCAATCTTCCGAAGCATTCATGTAAAAAATGTAGATTCTAACTGGTTTTACGCCGTTTTTTTCTTCTTTTTATAGCCGTATCTGAAGAAAGAGTCGAGATGACATAATAAATAGGTTTCAGCATTTCTAAGAACGAAGACAAGCGTGACATGTCGACAAGGTACATGTATATATATATTTCATACATACAAGTACTTTATATTAAAAAATATTGCTGACTACAATATATATTTTAGTTACTTTCTATTCACCTAAGTCGGTCTGTTTGTATATTTGCATATATCTGATCAGATTCGTTATCTATCGATCTATGTATAAAGTTGAATTAATAAATATAGCTTTACGTTTTTTTTTTAAATCATTTCACCCCAAGCAAGGCAATAAAGCCACAAAGACGCAAGAGTTTACTGAGTATTAGAGAATATAAAAAAAAAAGAATTAAGGAGAGAACACTAAAAAAACAGGAATTAAGAAGACAAACAATAACAATTGAAATTGCATGGAAAGTTTTGAAGATCAAAATTAACTGGGAAGCAAGAAGCCGGAAGTGATTTCTAGAAACAAGTATCGTGATAGAAGAAACTATTAGCATAGAACTTACGGTTACATTTGACGATTTTAACTGTAAAATGATGAAACCCTTTTGTCAATCTCGTAGTACGCTTAAATTCATAAAGTCGAAGCATCATATGGAAAAGTTAACTAGAACAATTATCATGAAAATATTGATAGAAAAGGCACAGGGAAGCTAAATTGTGTTGTTAGGAAAGGGATTGAAGCCCAGATGCCAGGTCAGGACCAATAAAATTGTAGATTCTTCTATTTTATCATGATTCTCTAAATATATTGCTGGACCACCAGACCAGATGTGGCAACAATATTTAACTTGCGACAAAATCAGGAGCTGAATTTTTATCTGAATTTTCACTGTTTCATTTTTATCTGAATAATATTTACCACTTTTATTAAGTGCAATGATAATAATAGAATATGCTATATGTATTTTCTGTATAAGATTAATGATCTATCTATCTATCTATCTATCTATCTATCTATCTATCTATCTATCTATCTATCTCGTCATCCACAGACAGACTGTTTCGCTGTATCACAGCTCATCATTTTTAAGCCGAGATCGAATCCCGACTGATTTGGCATGAGAGGAAGCGAATTTTTACGTACCTATTCTTCGAATAAACACGCCAATGACCAATATTAGCAGTAGTAGTCATTGTTTAAAAATTCGCGTTTTCTCTCCAGAGTGCTCGACCAGAATTAAATATCCACCTCTCTCTCTCTCTTCATGTCACTTAAAGGGGACGTCATCTACAACGACCAAACTAGATTTATACGTCCATTCTACACACTTTAATATACGATCTCCTATGGAGAAATATACTTTATTTGATGTTGTCCGTTTCCTTTGTATTATAACAGCTTCAAGAATTTTGAATCCTTCTTTGAATTGAGTCCTATATAATATTTGATGTTATCTATTAGAATTCGTCTTATGATAATATTATTTTGGTTAGTTGTAATATGTTGATCTGTGCGTACGACAAACGACAAGTCAACCTACAAGAAAATGTGGTGCATATTCGGCCAATGTCAGAATTTAAAGTCGTGTTGGAGATACAATACATACATACTTATATATAGAATATAGTGGAAAAAGTTTTTGTGTGTCGCGTTTCGTCCCTTAGGACTTAATCGGAGTTGGTTATGTTGATGTGACTACACATGAGCATGAACGAAAAAAGGTTGGGAATTTTAAATTTTGAAAATACGTTTGAAAATTGTTTTTTCATAATGTGGCATATTTAATAACGAAAATGGTAGAAACAAGAAGAAGAAAAAAAGAATCTAAATTAAAGCGTCAATCAGAAGACATGGGAAGAGAATTGAGAAAGAGTTGGATATTACTAAGGTACGACAGCTGGAAAAGCTCACTCTGATTGTTCTGACTTACATCAAGTGGCTTGAGGCGGGTAGTACGGCACTAGGTCAACAGGGTGGTTGCTAGAAGACCTTATGTCAGGTAACAGATCTGCACCATGCCACACAAGCAGGAGAACCCAATCATGGCTGTCAGAAAATTTCTGCAACAGGATCATCCCTTATATCTTGCCACCTAACACCCAAGACTGCAACCCCCTTGATTATTATGTGTTGGG